ATCTAATTAAAAGGATCAGATAGTCTTAAAACTGTAGAAGCCCTATGGTCTTTCTCTGCTGCCTTATTCTCTGGACCCAGTTTACAAGAGAGATTTCTACACTAATCAGCAGGGGCTTGCTGCCAAATAAATTAGAGGACTGCATTCCAGCTATTTCTGATCCAAGTGGTGTGGTTTCTATGGGCCCTGCAGAAAGTGGCGCTGGGGAAGGTGCATGTGTCTGAAGATTAGGCCAAAGTTTCGCTATTAAAAGAAGTAGAGAGGCTCTGAGACACTCATTTTGCAAAGGAATGTTATAGGGCTGCAGTGCAATCCTGTGCTCACTTATCTGGGAGCAAGCCCCCACTGAATACAACAATGTACACTCCTGGGCTGATGCATTCAAGATGTGGATGTATAAAACAGGCTGTAGAAATGAGAGAGAAAAAGAACTTCCCATTCCCAGAATATTTAGTACCAGCTTCTGACTGTAAAATACAGGGCCAGCTGGGAAGGTGCTGAAGAGGGGGAGAGAGAAGAAAGTGGACTTCAAGAAAAAGAGTATGTTTCTTTATACCCCATTTCACTCCCCGGTGAGAACCCAAAGCAGCATACAACATAGTTCTCCTCTCCTCCATTTTATTGTCACAACCAATGTTCCCTCTAAGCTGTGGAGTCCTGTGAGCAGAAATTCTACTTTGTGAGCTACTGGCATTAAAGTTGTGAGCAGGTAGTTTGGCTGCTGCTTAAAATTAGTTTGCTCTGGAGCCATCTTTCCTGAGCTAAGACAAAATTTGTGAGCTGGAGGCTAAAAAACTGTGAGCTAGCTCACGCTAGCTCACGCTAACTCAGCTTAGAGGGAACACTGGTCACAACAGCAACCCTGTGGGATTGGTTAAGCTGAGAGAGTGCTGACTGATCCCAAATCATCCAGTGAGCTTCAATGGCAAAGTGGGGATTTGAACCCATATCTCCCAGGTCTGAGTATAGCAGTGGCTTGATGAGAAGAAGTATTGTAAGAGATGCTTCCTGTCACTTGATGTCCCTGTTAGGAAGAGCTTCATTTTCTATAATCTCTGCATGTCAAGCTGCAGTAGCTACATGGGGGCAAGGGAAATAATGCTGTTAAAGAAGAAGAGATTGGATTTATACCCCGCCCTTCACTTGGAGTCTCAGAGCGGCTTACAAACTCCTTTCCCTTCCCCTCCCCACAACAGACACCCTGTGAGGTGGGTGGGGCTGAGTGACACAAACTGCTCTTTCAGGAACAGCTGTGCCTGAGCTTGTGACTGACCCAAGGTCACATCAGCAGGTGCAAGTGGAGGAGTGGGGAATCAAACCCGGTTCTCCCAGATCAGAGTCCACACACTTAACCACTACACCAAACTGGCTTAAAATGAGACAATGGGACCAAGCTTGTGGTCTGTATACCTGACTCTTCTTTTCTACACTCATTAGGCTGCAGTAGGCAACATGGCAGCCTTGTGGAAAGTTTACCAGAGGCTGATGGCCAGGCATCCCTGGAAGGTGCAAATCTTCACGGCTGGTAAGAATTTCTCCTTGGTTTGTGCTTTAGAGAGGTTAAGATGGGCCTGCTGCACGAAATCTACACTTGAACCTCCCTGGGCTGGTGCTCAGAAGCAGTCATGGGGTTCATTCTGGCCTGTTTTAGAAGACAGGAATAATCCATGCTTAGTGAGTAAGTAGCTTAGTTTATTTTACACTTTTTGAACTAAAGGAAGTAGCTTTGAAGTAAAATTGCCTTAGGTGGTTTACAAAACAGTGACATTCAATAAAATCTATAAAACCTGTGAAGAAATGCATTTTTGGTATAGAGGTCTGACCTGAGTAAAACCTTTACCAGGAGAGAACAGGCAGGGAGGGGGAAGTCAGTTCAGCAGCTTTCCAGCCTTATTTCAGGGAACATTTCAGGGAACACTGCTGGGGACCCCTGCTCCAGGGCATGTTGCTCTTATATGCGTTTTAGATCAGGTTTTAGTTGTTTTAACGATGGGTTTTTGGTTGGTTTCAGTGGATTTTAAGATGTGGTTTTTAATATTATGTATGTTTTAATTTGTTGGCCATCTTGGTAGCTCTTATGAGGGCAGAAAAGCAGGGTATAAATTTTGCAAAATAAATAAAATGTTGCCTTGTGATTGAAGAAGTGCAGCTTCTGTGGGCCCTGAAGGAAGTGGAGCTGAGGTTGCATTCTCCGGAGATGATCCCGGTGTTTTCTTCTTAAAAGGGAGGCAGAAGCTATGAGACCTCCAAGTTGCAAAGGGATGCAGGAACTTCTGCAAGTCTGAGGCCTTGACAGAGGAGGAGCAGCCAGCCAGTCACATGTTGCAGTTTCAGATACCATGTTAGGTAGGGTTAGATCTCTTGTGTTTTAGTAGCAGCTTGTCATACTGTAGGGTGAGAAAACCTGTATTTGTTAAAACATACTCCCCCAAAAAAAACTGTCTATCAAAGATGCACAAATACCTTTTTTTTGTACCTGGCTAGCTCAGTGCTTCAGATTCAGGATGGAGGAAAGGAAATATTTCTTCACTGAAGAAGATTAAATTGTGGGCTTCGCTGCCAGTAGACGTAGAGATGGGCCAAAAAACAACAACTTCAGGTGTAGGCTAATGAGGCCTGAACTTGCTGAGATTGAGAGGGGAAAAGATCTTGGAGTCGTAGTGGATAGCTCAATGAAAGTGTCAACCCAGTGTGCTGCAGCAGTGAAAAAGGCAAACTCTGTGCTGGGGATTATTAGGAAATGGATTGAGAACAAAACAGCCAATTCCTTTGTTGATGATCCCTTGTTGACCTTATCACTAGATTCAGAGAAGGCTTTTGATAGATTATCTTGGGAATTTCTGTACTCTGCACCAATGTTCCCTCTAAGCTGTGGAGTCTTGTGAGCGAAAATCCTACTTTGTGAGCTACGGGCATTAAAGTTGTGAGCGAGCCATTTGGTTGCTGCATGAATTAGTTTGCTTTGAGGCCATCCTTCCTGAGCTAAAGCAAAAATCTGTGAGTTGGAGGCTAAAAAACTGAGCTACCTCACACCAACTCAGCTTAGAGGGAACACTGCTCTGCACTGCAATCTTACACCATACTCCAGAATTTATTAACTGGGTGAAGATCCTCCATATTGAGCCTTGCTCTAGTGTACTAACTAATGGACGATGCTTAGACAGTTTCATTGTTGCCCATGGTACATGGCAAGGTTGTCCTCTCTCACCCCTATTATTTGATTTAGCTCTTGGAACCTTAACTTGTGCCATTCGACAATCAGAAGGCATCAAAGGTATGAAGGTCTAGGATATGCAGACTATGCAGTGGTTTTTCTGTCAGATCCTGAACATTCCTTACCAGCACTGATGGACCATATTGCTTAATTTAGGGAGTTATCAGGATATCGTATTAATTGGAATAAATTTCATGTCCTCTCTCTGGGTGGCTCTGCCCCCCCCCCCCCCCCCCCCGTCTCCTGTTCCCTCTCTTGCACGGGCCGCATAAGAGCCCTGAATGGGCCTTGTCATGGGTCCTGGCTCTACTGAGGCTGACTATTCCTCAGATGAGGAAGAGGCATGGAGCAACCCAGCCTCCTCTGGAGTCAGCCCAGAAGAGGAACCTTTACCAGCACCGGAGAAAGAAGAGGCCCCAGCATCTGCAGAGGAGGAGCAGCAAGGTGAGGAAACTGAGGTGCAGACAGAGGGAGAGACTGATCCAGAGCCTGGCCCAGCACCCCCAGTTGGAGACACCCTGAGGCCAGAATCCCCACCTAGCTCACCTGATTGTCCCAGACGCAGGGCACGCCAGCGTCTGGATGTGCAAGGGAGAAGGAGGAGTGCCAGACTTCAGCTGTTGCAAAGGCAACGTGAGGGGCTGTGAGTCTTTGCAGATTGACTCCCAGGGAAGGGAAGATTTGATCATAAACAACCCCACTTACCTGCCTCGGCACGGAAGCAACTGTGCATTCTCAGACCTAGTCCCGGCTGTCAGCCTCCACACCTCGCTCCTGAAAACTCTGACTGATTTCCCAGCTTTCTGACCTTCAGCTCTGTTTCTTGACTTGCTTTTAGACTACGTATCCAGCTTTCAGTGAAGGGTATCCGTGGTGACCAACCAGACCCAGTACAGCCCTTATGTTTGACACCCCTGTTTTAAGGCATATTACAAGAGATATTTGCTGCCTTGTTCAAATGAATATGGATTGGATTCTGGAACAGGTTTCCCAAGACCTTGACAGATGGACCTCCCTAACAATGAGCATTTGGGGTAAAATTAATACCCTTAAAATGAACATAATCCCACACATCACCTGTATCCTGAGAGGACTCCCAATATATATTCCCTAGAAGTTTTTTGTAAAAATTGATTCTCTGTTTTGGAAATTTATTTGGAGATCCTCAAGTAGGCTTAGAATATAAAAAGTTTCAGCTGCTTATAGAACGGGGTGGTGGGGGGATGTTAATCTCCCTAATCTGCACCAATACCATTTTGCCTTTCTGCTTTCTAATGTACAATACTGGACTCTAGTTCCTGGACAGGAAACACTTGATTGGGCTCACTTGGAAATGACCCAGCCATATCTTCTATGTAAGTGGGCTGCTTTGGGATCTACCCATTTAAATTATCCAAAGTTCCATTCACCTGTAATTGAAGCTGCTAAGTCAGCTTGACGTATGATTGGCACTGAGCTGGTTTTTGACCCTTGTTCTCACAGAGGTCTAACAATTTGGAAGAACCCTAGGATTAAGATAGGGGATAAAGGTGTTTTGGGGAGACAATGTATCTCCGGTGGTTTAGTACACTTATCTTAGCTAATTGGACCAGGGGATGACTTTAAACCATTTGATGTTTTGTTTCAGAATTTAATTTGTTCATGGCCAGTTTATTTATTTATTTATTTAATTTCATTTATACCCCGCCCTCCCCGCATGCGGGCTCAGGGCGGCTTACAGCATAAGGCACAAAAGTGCAATAAAATACAATAAAACAATTTAAAACAATTTATACATGGGAACGCCCAAGGATCCCGCGTGACTAGAAAACCCTCTCTCCAGTATTGCACAAACCTATCCATTCCAGGGGAAGTTACTGTGGCCCCCTGAATATTATTAGCCACTTAACCTCCGGCGGTGCTGTAGAAATGGTCCCCGTTGGTGGTAGCGGCGGCGGCTCCTATTCGAAAGCCTGGCGGAAGAGCTCCGTCTTGCAGGCCCTGCGGAACTGCAACAGGTCCCGCAGGGCCCTGATCTCTTCCGGGAGCTTGTTCCACCAGATAGGAGCCGCCACCGAGAAGGACCTGGCCCTAGTGGCCACAAGCCTGGCCTCCTTCGGGCCCGGGATCGCAAGGCGATGTAGCGACCCCGACCGAAGTGCTCTTTGGGATCTATGTGGGGCAAGGCGGTCCCTCAGGTATGCTGGACCCTGGCCATGTAGGGCTTTAAAGGTAACGACCAGCACTTTGAAGCGAATCCGGTATGCTATAGGCAGCCAGTGCAGCGCTTTGAGCACAGGCTGGATGTGATCCCATTTCGAGACACCAGCAACCAGCCTGGCCGCCGCATTCTGCACTAGCTGCAGCCTCCAAACAGTTGGCAATATATGCAACTAAAACATTGCCTGTCTTCTCTTCTGGGACCAGAAGCTTTCACAGCCTCGAACCACCCCCCTACACACACTGTTTTGCCTACTTCCATCCTTGGAAACCCTTCCTAGGCAACCCATCCTTATATATAATTTTCTAAGACACCAAACCAAATTTAATTTGGATTATATCTGCTCCCAGTGGAACCTAGAACTGAATAGCACGGTTCAACTGACCCAATGGCTTACTGCACTAAAAGCCATTAAAACTGCCTCTGTAGGCTTACAGCTAAGGTTTATCCATCAAAAAACTCTTGCAACTGTACTGGTACCCTGCTTAATTTTATCACGTTGGTCTCACAGAGAACTATTCCTGTTGGTGCCACCGGAAGCCTGGTGCTAACCTCAGTCACATGTTTTGGAATTGCTCTAAAATCACACCTTTCTGGCAGGAGGTTATATCCAAGATCAATATTACATTAGTTGCTTACTAAGACTTCACAGCAAATAATCTAATCTGAGGATATATCTGAGGTTCAGGTTCAGATAAAACTTTACACAGAGAGTGATCAAAACGTGGAATTCACTGTGGGAGAATGTAGTGATAGCCACAGGATTAACAGCTTTAAAATCAGTGGCTACTAGCCATGGTGACTGAGTGGAACCGCCACAGTCATATGCAGTAAATCTCTGAATCCCAGAGTCAGGAGGCAACATCAGGGGAAGGTCTCAGCCTCTGTGCGCTGTTGGTCCTCCAGAGGAACTGGTTGGCCACTGTGTGAGACAGGATGCTGGACTAGATGGACTATTGGTCTGATCCAAGAGGGCTGTTCTTATTTTTTAAGACAGATTAATGGAGGATAGGTCCATACTAGCCAAGATGACTACAGTGAATCTTCATCTCCAGAGCTTCTGAATACCACTGCTAGGAGGCAACATCATGGGAAGGTGTGGGCCTTTATG